ATCCTGCAGAAAACACAACAGGTACATCCCAGTTTTATTCAGAGGAAACTGAAGCAAATGAACACAGGGAACGTGAGCTGGGCCAGGAGGAGCAGTTGAAGCTGGGTGCTCTGATCCTTCATCCTGTGGCTTAAGCCACTGTGCAGATCCAAACTGGCCATCCTTTAAAGTTGCCTACAGAAACTAATCTGTCCTCAAAACATCCCATATAAGATAAATCACCCCATATTATCACTCTGCTTTACACAAGGAAGTTGACAAAGGTGAGAACATACAGTCAGACTTCCTGGACTGGTCTCTACATCAGGGCCTCATCCTTCACATATCACGTACTTGATTTTGAAAGATGCTGAGCACCCAACTGTAGCTGCAGACCATGGTAGCTGCAAATGCACGTCCAAAAATCAGCTGCCAGTATATATGCTGTATACTAAAAATGGAGCCACTCAAAATTATGGATAATTTGGGGAGGGGAAAAAAAGAGATGCTTAAATAATAGGGTCTCAGAGTAAGTCAGTGTACTAAGACCAGAATAAGAGACCATGAAAAAGTTCAACTTGTGAAATGTCTCACCTGATCAGCCACTTAGCTGCTGTAAATTGGTGTAGCTGCCCTGAAACTGTGGCTTATGTTAGGTATGAATTGGGCTCGCTTTACCTTTAGTGCCAGTGTCACCGGCACTGCTGCTATTCCTCTTCTGGCTTCCTTCTGTTGATGCCAGAGGATTTTGTTCTTGGTATCTCCCCGCTCCAGGAGATCGCATGACTTCATTTCTAGCCTTATTACCAATGATCCTGCTTCTTCCCTGTGCAGGAGAGGTGCTAGAGTCAGACTACAGGGAAGATGCAACCTTTGCAAGAGCGGTGGTTAGGGTGCAGGTCAGAGATAGGAATGTTACAACCTCTACCTCTTGGGATCAGACTGGGTGTACATATAGTGTGTAGGAGACTGGATCATTTTCCTTCTGGTATTGTTATAGGGTGCACTGGAGAGACATGGGCTGTTAATTCACAGAGGGAGAAAGAGACAAATTCCCCCCTGTCGATATATATGTATACTTCTGTAAAGTGCAAATTTGGTCAAGTAAACTTCAGCATATACAGTGGGAGCTGAAAATCCATAGTCATCTTCAGGTTAGTCTGGTTAACCTGGCCCTGCAAGAGAGAAAGCTGTACAGGGAAGTGGACATCACCCTCATACCAGTGCATACCCATCTGGCAAATGCCAGCTGGTAGCCACCTCATACTTCAACTCACATTTAACACTAGTGGAGAGCTGTGGGCTGGTGTCAGTTTAATTAATCAGAGTATGTATGCCAAACTGGGTCAATGTTGATGGTCCTGCTTGGTAGCAGAGTCAGCAGAAGACTGCAAGAGAGCTGCAAAGAACCGAAATTGCCTGCTCTATTCATCTTGCTGAGGACAACACTGGCTTAGATAAAAGCCAAGAGGCTTCAATTCGGTTTCAGCAAATCCTTAGGCTCCTAGTTTAAGCTCGAAAATTGACCAATGGAAAGTCCTAAATTTCAGCTTGAGGGATTTGATTAGAAGAAACTGGGCTTTTGATGTTTCTCAAAACAGGTCATTTGCTGTGGCAGGATCTGAATCAGAAAAGGGGACCCAAGTCCTGAGGTTGCTCTCAGTCCAGATCACACACTCCAGACCTTCATGGCTTTGATCCTATTTGTGCTGCCCCCATGTCTTGGGCAGGGCAAGAGCAATACTCCCCATACTCCAGGCAGACGTGTTTTGCAGTGTTTCCACTTGTTGGAAGAATGGGAACAGAAATGATGGCACTGTGGAAATCAGAATGGTCAGAGCAGGGCAAAAAGGCTTGGAAAAGAGAGCAGAAAGATTGGAAACAGGGAAGGTAGCAGGTTTGGATAGAGGAGACATACCTGATTGTAGGTGTCATGGGAAGAGGCAAGTGGAGAATGGTAAAAGGGCACACCAATGAGGGGAAGTGGGATGTGAAAGAGGTGATACAGCTGTAAATGTCTTAGGAAGAAACGGTTCAGACACTAGGAGAATATGAGTGACATTTAGGAGAGCAGAGACATAAGGGGAATGGAGAGTTTCTTTCATTTGGTTTCTACTGATGAAGTAAGATATTTGAATGAGCCTGGTGAAAACAGTGAAATGCAGATTCTGTTATGAATTGTAATTTATATGGTGGGCCTCACCCTGTGGCACAGCCTCTGTTCTGGGTTAGAGTATTCAGCCAGTGGATTGTTGAAATGTGAGCTGAGAGGCCATGGTGGAACCACAAAGAGTCACAAATTTTGATGCTCCTGTACACTCACCATTTGCTGCCAACAACAGACTTTCTGGATAAATACTTCTCCTTGAGGAAGGGGCTGGAAATTCCCAGTGTTATACAGTAACATGGGGCAGATGATAAAACTGAAAGGGTGAAAGAGTAGGTCACCTGCTGACATGTACTGTAAGTCTGGGCTGGAGGGAGAAATTATTTGCAAGGCCTCCAACTCCCAAAACTGAGTGAGCATAGATGAGGTGAAGTTTATCTCAACAGTGTTATTTTGCAAAACTCTGTAACTCCTTGTTGCTTTCTTAAGAATAAAAATTACCATGGCTTTAAAAAATCCAGCAAAATCCAAGTCTTAGCTTGTTTTCTTAGTTTCATCACATTAATGTTTGCTTTGCTTTCAGATCAGCTGTGGTAGTTCCTGTACGTTCATATTCCTTACGCTCCATTCCTCTGCTCCACTATTCACTATAATTTTCCTGGTTGAAGACTATTATTTGTCTTTATTATTTATATTTATTTCATATCAATTTTAACAATTATGCATCCTTTTTGCATAGCCACTTTCTTCTTCGTGGTTCAGTTATTTACTTATATGTAAAACTTTCTCTTTTTTCAAAAATCTGCTTTCCAGATTGATGTTACATTATATCTACAAACATTTGAAGATGAGTTTCCTTTGCTGATTGCTCTCCTTACTCTTCACCTTGTGGCTATTCATCCAGGTAGCTACAGAGGGATTTTTGCTTCTTTACTTATGTTGCAAGTTCCACAGCCGCTGTTGCATCTCTCTCAGAAATTCTGGACATCTTTCACATCCAGTTTCCTTACCACTACAGTCCATGTTAAAGAGTCTTCTTAATTCCATGGGTTTTAATTTCTTTTAAAACAAAACCTGCATGCACTGTACATGCCTGTTCTTATTTAGCTACCTGCTCAATTTATACATAAGGAAATTATGATCACATGCTCCAAATTTATTTTTGATGCCACCTGCTCTATGATTTAACTGCTATTTACAACTAACTAATCTTTTGTAGGTTCAGTGATGGTTTTGTGAAGGAATCTGTCATCTGTCATATTGAGAATTAAAGGCCTAAAGGCCATTATGATCATGAGAGATTATTCTCTGGTCCATAACTCTGAAGCACAGGGCTCACTGGGATTTCTCTCTTTTAATATTAGCTCTCTCCCAACATGAACTTGAGCGGTTCACAGCTGACGCTGAGCTGCACCAGAGAAAAGCCTCTTTTAACTTTCTGAGTTTCATGTAAGCAACCTGCAATATCATTAATGTAATGCACTATTTTTATCTTCCTTTCTATCAGTCCTGAACAGCAGAATATTTTCATAGCAGGTATGACTGCTCTTCTACCCTATTTCTGTTACTTGCATGATAGCTTGTTTACACCCCATATTAGTTGCTCATATTTCTTTCCTACCAATAACTGGAATGTAGTTACAAAGATAATGGAGCCAAAGTATTCTCAGCAGTGGCAGATGATATAACAAGGGGCAATGACAACAAGCTGAAGGTTCAGGCTAAACTTCAGGAATTACTTTTTTACCAGAAGGGTAATGCAGCACTGAAACAGGCACCCGGAAAGGCAGCAGTATCTCCCCGCCCTGAGGGTTTCCAAACGGTCAGACAAAATCATGGTGACCTGACTGAGACACAGGCTGGATCAGAGACCTCCAGAGGTCTCCTCCCACCATCACTTCTCTGATTCCACAGCATCAGCCAAGATTCCCTGTAGCACACAGGCATCTGCCTCTCTGGCCTCACCTACTTCCCTTAGCTGAACTAAGTAGCTCTTTGGCTACCAGTATTGTCTGCTACTGCTTATCTCATCACAATTAATATATTCTTTTCCCTTGTGTCTAGGCCTCTGCCCATCAATACCTCCTTATCTGTCATCACATAGTTATTTAACTGGTTTTCACCTCCCTGTGTAGGAAAACAGATCCGCAGCCCTCTCCCAGCAGTTGCAGCGTCACTGGATGGCTCTCTTGAACATGATACCTGCACAGCAGTTATATTTACTAGCTAGCTTGGTAAATTGCACAACTTTTTACCAAGCTGTTCATTTAGCCAGGCTGATCCACTGTGCAATGGATTGCAGCTCTGGAGAATGGAAGAGAGCCCCAGCTTTAGCAGACACCTGGAGGGATTTGACTACAGAGAACAGTCAAGAGTGGCTTACTGCTCTGCGAAACAAAGTCTGCCACAAGGACTGTGATGGAGCCTCTCCGCAGGCCACACTCATTTTGCAGCCGCAGCACAGGCTGCAGACCTCCCCCAGCTCCTCTGAATAAACAGCTTATGGGCAAATCTGCTGAAGTGCAGTTTTGGCTCCACTGGAGCAGGTAGAGAAACAAATCAGAGAACAGAGCCTTGGCTTAGCAGACACCGCTGCTGCATTTGCCTGGGGTGAAGGAGTTGCACAGACGCTTGTACTCTGCTTCATTGCCCTCTGAGAGCACAGGTAATGCCAGGTAATAACATATAAGGCATGGGGAGTCAAGGTGCGTGCATCTCAGATTGAAGGGGGATGCAGGGGCCCACAGGGTGTGTTGGTAGGTGTGTGATATTACCCTGGTGAGGCATTGGGAGAGCTAGTCAGAGCAGCTGGCCACATCTGAAAGCTCATTTATGCTCCCAAGCATAACTTCAGCAGGAAGAGTTAGTGTTTCTTGAGAGGCTTTTCCAAAAAGGACTGAAGTGGTGAGGGAGGATGGAATTGGAATGCAAGGGGTAAGTCTGTATCAAGAACACGCATCTGGCCAGAACAAGGTGCTTCTTGGGCTGGGTGTCAGGCATTTGTACTGGAAGAGCTGTGGCTGGGGGGTTATCATGGTTTCCTGCGGGTGGGTATACACGATTATAGTAGGCCACAGCAAAGGTGAGTTGTGTTACTGCAGGGCTAGCAAGACTGCGAAGAGAGGAACAGACCAGCAGAGAAGCAACCATTTTCTCTCCATGTATCTGAAAGACAGGGAAAAAGGCAGCAGCTGAAATACCATCAGAGCTCATCCATTTCCTCTCTCACACAGCTTGGCTTTTTTCCCATGATGTTTTTTCCCACGAAGCCAAGCTGACTTGGCACCACACACTGCAAGCCTCATGGGGTCTGGCTCACTCCACCACAGAGCAACCAGCTTCTTTGCAGTTGAAGAAGGCTTCACAGGAGATAAAAATAACCAAAAGAAACAAACCAGCTTCAATCTCCAAGTCTTTCACTAAGACAGTCTTCTAAAAAGCACGCAGACAGAGAGGTGACTGCTTCCAGAGGCTGCTTGGCAGGTCTGGAGGAGATGAGCTTGCATGCAGAAGCATGGTAGCAAAGCACGGCGGATCCTCTATTGACTTAAAGAGTGACCCAGCAAAAGCAGCCCAGCCACAGGTTTGGGGATGCTCCTCGACTGCAGCTGATCGCACTCCGGTTCCCTGCCGCCTCAGGCCTCCTTTGTAAAGCAAGAGTTAAGGGTTGGGTTTGTTTTGGTTTCTGCTTTGCCAGAGCGAAAGTGAAATGAAGCAGCAGCCAGCATGTTTGCTTCCCACAAGGGCTCCAGAGTTTGGGAGCGAGCGGGCAGCAGCTGCAGGGCCTGAGGGGCCTGAGAGCCCAGGAGCTCCTGCAGGGCCTGTGGGGCCTGAGGGGCCTGAGGGCCCAGGAGCTCCTGCAGGGCCTGTGGGGCCTGAGGGGCCTGAGAGCCCAGGAGCTCCTGCAGGGCCTGTGGGGCCTGAGGGGCCTGAGAGCCCAGGAGCTCCTGCAGGGCCTGTGGGGCCTGAGGGGCCTGAGGGCTGGGGAGCTCCTGTGGGGCCTGAGGGCCGGGGAGCGCCTGCGGGGCCTGAGGGGCCTGAGGGCCCAGGAGCTCCTGCAGGGCCTGAGGGGCCTGAGGGGCCTGAGGGCCCAGGAGCTCCTGCAGGGCCTGAGGGGCCTGAGGGTCAGGGAGCACCTGTGGGGCCTGAGGGCTGAGGGGCGGCTGCGGGGCTGGACGGCCGGGGGCCGCGGCTCCTGTGCAGGGCCTTGCTAGCCCTGGCAGTGGGTGAGCGGCGGGGTGGCTGGGGCTCCTCCTGGGCTCACCCCCTCCCCATACCCACACACCTTCAGTGAAGGTCTCCCAGTGAAAACTAGGGTCTCCCTAAAGGTTAATGCTGTTGCCAGAGGGTTGGGGTGCAGGGCTAGAGGGGTCCACTACCAGCAGGGCTGGGAGAACAACCCCGAAGTGGCAGCCAAGCCCCCAAGCCTCCTGATTATTTTTCCCCCATCCCAGAGAAACTCATACACTCTCCTTTGCTTGCAGCGAGGTTTATGCATTCAACCAGCTCTTTTCCCTCCCTACAGGGCCAGCGCAAGCACTCACACCAGCGCCTCCGTTCCGCAGGATGGATATTGCCCTGGGCTGCTCCTACGTGGGGAAAGATGTAAGAGGCTTGCTGCGTGCCTTTGTCAGCTCATCCTACGAGTATCCTGCTACCCTTGTATTGAGGGGAATCAGCGTCAGAGATGATGGGAACTTGGATGATGTAACTGAGTATAAAGTCCCACAGGAAAATCCTGACTCCTCCCATTGTCTTTAAAGCATCAGGTGTGTGAGAGAGCTGGGGTGGGAGAGCTGCTGCTGAGATTTGGACCACTCACATGCACAAGATTTTTCTTTAACTGAGTTTAGACAATTTTTGAATGGCCACAAAAGCTTCATGCATCATTTCCTGAATTCATCAGTTGGGACTTCAATAAAGGAACTTTGTGGAAGATGTTAGCAAACCCTGTTGAGGCACCTCTCTCCTAGATTATCCTAGATTGTGTATCTCTTGGGAAATACTTTGTCAAAAAACCCTCAGGAATTATTCCACTATATAGTATTATTGCACCCATAAAGAACATCTTTAGCCATGCAGATGTTTTTTGCTAGCAGGAAACATGGTGGTGAGTGGGCATGAAGCAGAGCTGTCCTGCTCAGAAGGCCAACCGTGTGTGGCTTGGCTCTCCTTACTTCACTCATGGGTTCCAACCTGCAGTCCAGCCTCTTGTAGCCCTTGATTTGTGCGTAACTTTGCAAACAGAGTCAAGCAAAGGTCTGAGCCTGTACTTCACTATGGACTTGTTAGCTGCCTGCAGTGCTTATCTGTGAGCACGTGCTCCAGTACAAGCTTATTCAAGGCTCTCAGACATTTTCAGAGAGAAAGCTGAAGGCTCAGCAGGATCAATTAGCCTGGGTCCATGCTCTCCAACTGGTGTGGATGGACTGGGCATGGGCGAGTTCAAGCACAGTATAGCCAGGCTATTGTCAGGTATTGCAGACATGGAGTTAATTTCCAATTATGTCCATGAAAAGCGTATAGATCACTAGGATACTTACACCTATGCTTAAGCCCATGCTGTGATCTAAGGCACAGACACAGTATGTCTCTACAACCAGCCACTCCTGCCTTCCTGCCACCCTTTCTTTCCTTACCTGGGATGCTTCAGTGTCCCCTTTGTTTCTGGATTCAGGCTTAAAAAAGAATAAACATTGCAGGTCTTTAGTGTGCATTTCACGTACACAGCTTGCTTTCTTGAGCTAGCTAAAGGAAATCTGTTCTGTTTATTCTCCTTTCTTAACAGCTTCCTTTGCCCAGCATGAACTCTATGAATTCTGGCAGGATAAAACACAACGAATGGACTGAGGGATGTAAGATAGTCGTGACAAACCTCTCATAGCCCTTGCAGGCCTTCATCTATTAAGCCTAGCTTGGCATTTCTGGGCTCTGACTGACCCCCACAGTGGATGATGCTTCTCCAAAATATGTGTCTCATCATCTTGCACTTTCTTTCCCCTTTTGGGTTCGGATGGTTAAACCTTTTCCTCTATCCCCACAGCCCAGTCGGTATCCATCCCACACGCGCAGTCCCTGCTGCACGCGGACTGTGATGGGGAGGAGGTGAGCTGTGAGATGTCCCTATGCAGGTCCCAGCAGGCCATCAACGCGCCCTGCCATACCTCCTGGCTCACGGCCACCCTGCGGCTATCCAGCAGCATCAGTATTGCCCTGGTGCTCAGAGGACTCCACTGCAGCAGCTGGGAGGCAGAGAAGGAGCACAATGCAACACTGCACCCAAAGCTGAGGATACCTATGAGCAAGGAGGGGACACTGCTGACCACAGGTGACCAGGTGGCCTGGGGTGCCCCCACAGCCCTGAGGGACATGAGGGGAGCCTGCCTCCCCAAGAGTTCCATGCCCAACCTCACACCAGGACCTGAGGACTGACGGGAGTTGATCCTTAGGCAAAAAGGGGTCATGCATGTTGCCCCTCAGCCTGCCTCTTCTCAGGGTTTCCCATGCCCCATCCCCTGAGGATGACAAGCACCTTCAAGACCATGATGTGCACTTGGTGTCCACCTGTCTCCCTGCCCCGCTAACCCCACCAGGGGCTGACTTCCTCCAGCTTTTCAGTCCACATGGTCCCTGCGCCATCAATCAGGGTGCCCGTGCCTGCCTCCTCCTCCTCCAGGTGGGGAGTTTGCTGCCAGCCCTTCCCACAGAGGGGTGTCTTCTTTAACCACATCTGTTTAACAATCTGCTTGCCTGTGTTTCTGTCTCTAGTTGAATTTTAGTCGTCTTCACACAACACTTCCCTGCACACACGTCTTGGCGGCTCAGTCACCCTTGACTGCCACTTTGAATTGGCTCCCAGGTCTCCTCTGTCCTCCCTGGAGTGGAGGAGGCAGCACCGAGGCAGCAGCCGTAGCCTTTTCCAGTACCAGGTGGGGAGTACAGGCCCAGAAGTGCAGCCAAAAGTCCACGTGGATGTGGTGGAGCTGCTGGGGAGTGGAGACACATCGCTTAGCCTGCAAGGAGTGAACGTGGGAGATGAAGGGGCATACATCTGTCTGGTGTCCTCCCTGCTGCACCAGACCCAGCACATCATCCAGCAGCATGTGGCCAGTGAGGAAGGGAAATGCCTGGGGGCAACAGGAATTCCATGTCCCCAGGCATTGAAACTTTGCCCTACACCCTTATCCCATTGCTCCCAACACTTACCGTCACAGCAGCTCATCTTGTCGCCCCTGTGGACAGGGACTTTCGTACTCTGCTAACAATAAGTCAATTCCCTGTTTATCTCCCCCACAGCCTCCAAGAGTTCATGTCATTCCATCAGTGGTGTCATTTGAGAGAGATGTGATGTCCACTCTGACCTGAAACATTGCTGGCTATTACCCCCTGGATGTCTCGGTGATCTGGACAGAGAAGACTCCTGAAGGTGACACAGAAATCCCTCTCTCAAATGTACGTTTCTCCAGCCATGGGAAAAGCCAAGATGGCACCTACAGCATCGCCTCCTACCTCGGCATCAGCTCAGCCACAGCGCAGGCTCCAAACACCTACAGCTGCCGTGTTTCACACGTAGCCCTGGCAGAGCCCATCCCTGTGAGCGCCCATCTTAAGGCACCAGGTAGCTGTCAGGGGCAGAAGGGCGGGTTCTCCATCCTGCCCAGACCTCCTCCCACCGCATCTACCCACCACGGGGGTCAAAACCTCTTCAGTCACACCACATGTGCCTGTTTCTCCATGCTTTCCTTCTGGTGTCCTCTCACACTCATCCTCTCCTCTCTATCCTCCTCTTTCCTTTCTCTTTCACTTCCTCAGCTTTTATCTCACTCCCTGAAGCTTTTGGGGAGCAAGTATCTCGTTTGCTTCAGGGGAAAAGAGATTTTATGACTGAAAGTGGAGCAACAGAGCAAAAGTTTGTAGCATGGACCCTGCTGGACAGGCACAAAAGTTTGGACCCTGCTGGACAGGCACAAGCCATGCGCCAAGGAGTTACATGTCCAGCTGGACTTGATGTTCAGCTGGAGAGCGATGCTGCTCAAGAACCACAGCAAAAAATCTTTCCCCTCATTGGAGCTTTTGGGTTTCTCACTTTCCTTACTGATGGGAGATTGCTCCTGTGCCTCCTCCTGACCCAGGAGGGAAAAGCAAGCAATACTGCAGTTTAACAAGTTACAACACATCGGTCCAGCCAGTATAACTGGCCCTGGGTCTGTGTGGCTTTAGCTCACGTGTGTTGTGTCACATCTGTGTACCTGACGAGAGCATGCACATGGTCAGTTGCTGGGGGAGCTCCTTTAACTGTGACAATTCTCTGGCTGTTCAGCTGCTCCAGCCAACTGATCCTCTTCTTCCTCTGCAGAGCAAACAGGATCGGAAGGACTGGTGGGGGTTTTCATTGCTACTGTCATTTTCATCATTGTCCTCTTCATTGTGCTCAGGAGAGGAGCAGGTAGGTGTTTAAAATGCTGAGCCACTTCCCTCATGTGCAAGATGCAGCAAGGAGCATCTTCCTCTCCCCTGCACCCCCCATGCAGGATAAATAGAGGTCAGGATATCCCAGGATCCTGGAGGGAGAGATGGGGAGCAGATGATCTTGGAGACTCATTTCTGGTGGAAGGTGGCATGAGGTGATGTTTTGCACCACTTTGATTTTCTTGCATCTTCTTTTTTGTTTTTTTTTGTTTTTTCTCTTCCCTTTTCAGCGAAACCAAAGTCAAAGCAACTTTGTAGGACTTCAGAATAGAGTAAATCCTTGTCACCCACCTGCAGTCCTTTGTCTCCCATCCCTTGACACATCCTGCTCGGGAGAGCCAGCCCTGTCCAAATATTAACAAACAGAGCTATTGGTCACTATGGGAGGGGTAGGGATGCCCTTGGTGGAGGAGCTGAGTGACCATTCAGAGGTGGACTCACAGAAGAGCATGTCTTTATCTTGGAAGGGCAACATCAATACCCTCAGCTCTTTGCTGGGATGCTGCATTACAGGCAGCATGCACACATTTTTAGAAATGCCTTTTCTCCAGCTTCAGGGAAAATTAAATTGTGTATAGATGAGTGTATGACTGTATATATGCATGCGTGTATACAGATATGTATATGTATATGTACATGTTTTAAGTAGGTATACAACATTTACACATATATGTTGATATGTATCTGTACATGTATATAGGTACATTTGGTTAGTGCCTATGAGGCAGGTCTTTAAGCAAGATATTTATGTATATGTGTGTTTTAACTGTGAAGTCAGGCAAATATGTAGGCAAAATCTGTACTTCAGAATCCCCAAACAGAGAAAGTTATGGGTTAAACTGATCACAAATCAAGCAATCGGGAAAATATTACTCTCCAGGAGAAAGTTACAATGAAAATTTTAATAGAAATGTCACTGCTAAAAGTTTACAAGATCTGTGCTTTTGTAGTTGTGGAAAAGACAGATGTGGTTAAATGCTTTTCCTGCCTAACAAGGAGTTTGAAGGTAACACTTTGCATATAACCAACAGGGGGAAAAAAAAGCAGAAGGAAGGTGTGGATGGAAAGGAGGCATATGGCACCCAATAAAAGTGAGAATTGATGAAACATACAAGGTGATAAGCAGTGTTCAAAATAATGTGGAAAAACTGGATTGCTGCAAGTGCTAATGTCACTTGGAGTTTTTTCAAAATACACTGAAAACCAAGAAATTCTAGCAACAGCCCAGGCTCTTACTGGGTGGGTATACGTAAAACTGTTGATACAGAAGATTTTTGATAGAGCCTTTTTGATAGAGAGAAGATAGTTGTTTGTATACAGAATGAAACACTTGTGTATTCATGCTACATAAGGATGGTAAACAACTTCCTAATCTATTTGAGAACTAAGGAAGGTTTTAATGGTATCTATTAAGCATAAGTATGTTCAGATTGGTATCCAATAAAATTTGCATCTCAGAATCATAAAGACTTATCTGAGGAGACACCTGGCTCAATGGAGTTAGATATTTAAAAATCCTGACATACTAGAGAAATCCCCAGATCTTGGAAGAGTGTGTTGTGCCATTGTTCACAGAGAAAGCAAGATGACACCAACAACTGTTAGATGGTTCTATAGTAATAATCACAGGTAAGAGAGTGTGAAGTTACTACAGGTTAGCTAACAAAGGCTTCAACAATGAAAATAACATTAATACTTTAGTATCTTCTTAAAAAAAAAAAAAAGTTGTGAGAAATAAACCTGACAATTCCTTGATGAAATAATGCATTTGGTTGATAAAAGCACTGGTGCAGATTTAACAAACCAAGAAATTTGTAAATTCTGAACAAAACAAAATAGTGTATCATAATTTGCATTATATGGACTAATTACTAGCTAACAGACAAAAGAGACGTGGCTAGCTAACAGGCAGAGAGTCCTTCAGATCAACACAAGTCACCTGGCCAGCTGAACACACTCAAACAAGATAAGATGCTCAGTAATGCAAGTGGAATCTCCTCAGGTACTGGACCACCACGCTGCCTCAATGCCGTTGATCCACAAATCTCTGTCAGTTGCTTGACCTGTGGGAATACGTAAGAGTGACCATGGGCAGAATATAACTGCTGGTAGAGGCAATTTTTGCTTGTATCCTTTCCTCTTAATTTTTGATGTGTTACCGGTCAATACGTATTTTTAGTTCCAATAGTTGTCTTCTGTCTGTGCACCTCTCACACCACTCTGTGGAGTCCAGCCGACTGCGTGGCTCCGTGACCGGTGAGCGGGTGGGCAGAGCCCCACATGGAGGGGGAAACCTCCTGGGACTCGGGAAGGGGAGCTCCAAGGGACCCTGGGTGTCAATACTGTTCCCCTCGGTCCCAGAGACTGCTACTCTGGAACAGGACTCACAGAAGCTTTTTGTAGTGCCTGCTGGATTCAAAGACACCCCCAGATAACGGGTGCAGCCAGGACAAGCTGTCAAGAGCAAGAACCTCCTTGGCGACCACTGGAGAAATCACTGTCACATGGGACTGACAACGTCAGGCTGGAAGCCCAGCAAAGCCTGAAGCTGTAATACCTGTTGGCAGTGAAGGCACCCACACTTTTTTTTTTATTATGTTGAAGACTTGGAGGTGGTTCAGAGCAAAAGTATGGGATTAGTTAGAAACGTCAGAAAATGCCTTACAGGGGACACTTTGAGGCATTACTCTGGTCTTACTAAACCAATATCTCTCGACCACACCACAGCAAATACAGAGTACTGGTGGCACCGTAACCTGCAGAGATGGGCACAGGGGGAACCAACAGCTGCAAGTTACATTCAGGCATGTTCAGAGTAGAATAAGACATAATATACTCAACAGTGAGGACGATTGTCCTGGTCATCTGCCAGTAGAAATGGTAGACTATCTCTCAAGGGCTTCAAATAAAGGCCAGGTTACTTTTTTCAAGCTGTCCTTTAATAATAATTAAAAAATTAATGTCATCAGTTAAAAGAGCCACTGGGTAAAATTCCAAGGCCTGTGTTACACATGAAGTGAGAGCTAGTGGTTTGCCTGCCTTTTTGGCCCATAAACCGACATAATGGAAAGAAAAATAATGGAGAGATGGAAGAAATGCATTAGGAATATCTATATTCCTCATAAGGAGAAATACACCGTGGCACTTGATTTTATTTGACTACCTGCTCTCTTATGCTCCCCACTGGAGTTGCTATGGGGAGTCCACAATTACTATGTCCTTGAAGGTCTCAAGCTGAATTTTAACCACAAAACCAAGTAAAGCATACAGCCTAAAGCAGAAAAAGTAATACTTACTGATAAACAAAGTGACCTTGTGTTTAACAACAGTGTTCGTTATATTTTAAATATAAAACACTTATTACAGAAACTGCCACTAAGAGACTAAAAGTCCATCAGAGAGAAACTGGAGCGCATTAGAAAGACACAGATAAATAATACTGTATGTTCTGCGCCTCTGGGAGATAGCCGTGCTGCCTTCCAAGGTCAAATGTGCCGTGGCCAAGTGCCACATGGCATCACTGCCTGGGCACGTGAATTGAGAATCAGGAATCCAGTCATCATCCGATTAGCTGCTAGGCAGACCAACCCATTAAGGTATACAGGGTCAATACAAATAAGTATTTCATGTAGGTGTTTTAAACTAGTTCTTTAGGAGGATTGTTTGATCTAAGGCATGAAATTTTACATGGGTTTTGTCAACCTGCAGAAGTTCTTTGCACTTCAGTCAAAATATTTAGGGGCTGTGGCCACATTGTATCGTGGATATGGACAAGCCAAACTTCGAATGTGGTATTGAAGGAACAGTCACTTTGCAAACAGTAAAGCCAAGCACAAGATTATAATTTCTACATAAATTCCCTAAATTTGATTATGCTTCTGCTCATTCAGATTAAACTAGCAAAATAGATCCAGCAGTCTAAATACATTGGTTTAGATGCAGTTGATGAACATAGCTGGAGCTCAGCTGGTACGTGCCTCAAAGAGAACATGCATTAACCTGAAGTATTTAAATAAACTGCCTTTGCTTCAACTTCACATTTTATCATAATCACACATTCTACGGCGCTTCCAAAGCAACTGTGGACATCGCTTCTCTAGCGCTGGTACTGCGGCACAGGCACCTTGTTCAGGCAAAGCCTTTTTCTGGAACACGACAGACACGTTACGTGAGAGGCCACTCTTGACCCTGAAGGCCGGTGTGCAGGCCCTCTCCAGCCACCCAGCCGCTACCCACATGCCACTGGAATTCAATGTACGTGGCCCCGTCGCAAGGCACCACAGTAAGGAGAGGGTTAGCAAGGATTCCTTTTTAACCCATAGCCATGTCATTCTTGAAACGTTTGGAAATGACATTTCTGAAAGTGTCAGAAGTCCTGAGAGCCATGATCAGCCTAACATGTAATTGCCAGGTTCATCGCAGATCAGACTGGGATGAGTTCTTCTTTTATGCCTGAAGGGTTACAACGATACAGCTCCCTACAGCAGGGAAAGCTGTCCTTCAGAAAGTTTGTTCCCACCTTGGTACCATATGCTCAGGCTGAGAACCTCCAAAATCCACCTGTCACCCTCAGCCTCTTGCAGACTCACTGTGAAGTGTCTAATGCATAGGAATCATTCAAAGCTAAAACTCCTATAGTCCACCAGGCAATGATAGACTGTAACTCATTCAAGCCTAGCATGCAACAGGAAACAGATTTCCACACTGACCTTACACACAATAGTAAACTTTCCCACATCTCCCCCTTCTTGGTCAATGAACTGCAAGGAACCACCACAATCTGCTTTGTAAGGGTGGACGGGGACAAAGCATCAGGGTGAGCATTCGTGATCTCTGACTGTACATTTCTTCCAGATCAGAAGCTTGAAGCAGCACGCTCCATTGCAAGAACTTGGCGTCACAGCCCTCGCTTGGATCAGCACAGTGAGCAGCCGGTGGGTCACACGTGTACACAGTAAGATGACTCTCACATGGCTGCAGCTTCTTGAAAGCCCACGGACATCAGGTGGCTCTTCTCATTAGCTGGATACCTCGTTCCATAGAGGTCATCTCAGCTATACAACGGCTGCTTCTCCTCCCTAGCACTGCCTGCAAGAACACTGCCCCCGGGCTTTTCTCTGTGAAGAGTATGAAATGCTGACCAAAGACACGTCTTCGGTAGTACTGCATGTTTGCTTTTCTTAGTATCGGCAATCTGCTGCAGTGATCACTTTCTCTGACCTGTCCTTCATCTGGACTTCACCAACACAAGCAGTGATAAGATACAATGGGTAATGAAGCTCCTGCAACATTCCGCACTCTCTCCCTCTCAACAAAACAAAACAAAAGAACACCCAAAGAGAAAGGAGAAAGAAGAAAAGGGGAAAGAGAAAACAGAAAAAGATTGGGCTTTTCTTTTCTCAAAGCCTCCAGCTCTATTACAACCACCCCCTAACTGGTATCCCAGACAAAAGCATGGGACACGTGCTTCCCTCTAGAGCATGATGCGTCACACTAAGTCAGCCCGGCTCCTACCCACTACTACAACATGCTCCT